GACAACAACAACAACGACAACACTGGACAAAATTTTACCTACGGGCAAAGTAAAAATGCAATTTACAGTTTTTTATACATTTTTGTATCACTTTTCATTTTTCAGAAATTCAACCTTTCGTCAGTTTATGTTGTCCATCTTTATTCTTCAGCAAAGGATTGCGAGTAAAGTTTGACATGTCCACTGTTGTAAGAAAATGACTTCAAAATTTACAACATGGTAGCATACTTGTAAAATAGTTGTCATGGCAACAGAACTGAAAATATTCGTGTTTTTCTGCCAAATGCTCAATTTTTTGTATATTTTACACAATTTATCAATGAGAGTAGGTTATACAGGTGATATATATAACCTGTTGACCACAAAATAAGTGTCATTTTTATGCATTTTCATCAATATAATTATATGCACACCATAAATTCGAACTAATTCGCATCAGTATTTCTCACAACAGTGGATATGATGTCACACTATACCTATAATCCTTTGCTGGAGAATCACGATAGCGGACTACACAATACGATATAAAAAAACTGTAAATAGAATTCTACATTCTACAAAATTCCAAAGACATTCATGAAAGTGTATTGAGCAACCTTAATGGTTTGAAACCATAACAGATGATATAATCAGAGAAATAACAATCCATGTTGAGTATCACATCCTGCATGACAGATACGGTACTTCGAGTTAAACTTTGCAACGAAGGGTCAGAATTAGGGGCTCTAGCTTTATTTGTAACTGACTAATAAATAAGAACACAAATACCACAGTGTCTATTTTTGTGAGAATGTACTTTTTATTGTAAATATGTACAAATAAAAGTAAAAGTTATCTTTTCACAAGAATAAATACATATCAATGCATCCGACTTCTTTGAGTTATACTACTGTAAAAACTGTATTAGAAACCGCGGCTTCTATTAAAATGTTACAAAGGGGGATGCAGCTCTTATGAGAATTTTTGGTTCTCAATTATTCAAAAAGAATGGATGCAGCTCTAATACAGATTTTACAAAAAATACAAGTAACAAATAAAGATGATATCTGACAACCAGACATGTGCAGAGAATGGGAGTCATTGTGGCTGCTCAAATAGTTTGACATTTTGTCTAAACACATTTCACCCATATTAGTATGGGACCAATATCTTATGTGGCTGCGACGACCACTGCCCTTTAAAAAACAAGTCCATGAATTTGCACACCATGACCTTGCATATTATGTTCAGAGTAACAGCAAGGTGACACTTGTTGAATGGTAAAAACAGCTTTCATGCGCCTTCGGTTTTAATTTCCCCCTCACATGGGAGATGATTATTTACACCTTTGGAATTCAAGAATTATTTTTAGTCCTCATCTGAGTCCAGTGATTGCTGATTGGCTGCGGCACTGACATTGACTACTGTCACTAAATCTTCCTTGCCAGATGCTAACCTCTCTCCTGAAAGTAGAATATAGTCACTTTAAAGTTTCACTCTTAGGTACATATTTTTTTTGTACATTGTACGCCAAGAATATTAGCAAATACTGTACTGTAAAATCATTAATTTTTGCTGAAAGAATGATTCAGTGAAAATAAAATCCAGCTAAAATAAAGTATTTTACAGTATTTGGTGTATTAGAAGCACAACTCCAAAGAAAGTGCAAATAACCCTAAAAATTGCATTTGGTGTTCACTAAATCATTAAAAACAGAACAAGTATTTCTGCAACAATTTTACTAGTCTACTGGGGGCTGGAAAATAACTATCAAGTATTTTGTTTCCAGTGGCATGCCTTGCCAATCGTTCTGTGCATGTATATTGCTGCCAAATACCGGGTATTCACATGTGCATAGTAAGTTGCACTCACGAGTGTTTACAGTCCCGAAAATCGGAGTCTAACCTTTTTTGTTGAGTAATGAAGCGATGATGCGTTGAAAGAAAAATAGAGGCTTGAACCAAAAGAAACAAATAATTTATACCCGTCTTCTCTCTTGTCCTTCTACCTTCCATGGTTGCACTTACATTTTTAGCAACTAGAAAACCAAAACATCATAACTTACTTATCAGCTCAGCTATAGCCCTCTGTGTCCGCCTTTCTAATTTTTCTAACTTTTTGGAAACATCTCTTTTTAAATCCCTAGAAAACGGAAAAATACAAGTAAGTGGCAGTAACTGAAGTGTCAAATAAGACAGGAATTATAGAACTCAACCATGAGGGTAAGTTTGCCCTCTAACAGAACTAAATTTGTTGGGAATGCTCAATGAAATATTTGAAAAGATGAGACGTGAATCTGTCAAATGTCAACAAAGGGAGAAACCAATCAAAGTGTATATGTATATGAGTAATGGTTAAAAACACATGAAACTAAAACCAACATGGCCGCCAGCAGGCCATCTTGAATCAAACCACAACACCAAATAATGTGCATCAGTGACCCACCATGTTTGATGTTCATACTTTGACAAGACGCGTGTTTGAACATTTTTGTTTTATTTATATTTTTAAAAAGAAAATGGCTTTTAGTCAATCAAAACATGACCAAACTAAAAGTAATTGACACACATATGTACACATTACATCAGATGCTTGTATTAACATTGAATAAAATCGGAGAATATCTGAAAAACGGCAAGAAACATTATGAATCAAATTGAAAAATTAATGATGTGAATCAAGTAACCCACCATGAGTTATGTCAATACTAAGTTTGAATGAAATGGATCCTGGCATCCCTGAGAAACAGTTGATGACATGTTCAAATGAGTTTGTTTTTTTTGGCACAAAAATGGCCATCAGCCAGTCAAAGGTGACCAGAACAAAAAAAAAACAAAACAATTGACATAAATAAGTCTCCTACTATGACTTGTTTTTCTAAAAGATTTAAACAAAATAAGGTCCAGAAATGTCCAAAAAATTACAATGGTTACACATAACCACATAAAGAGACAGACTCTAGTAAACCACCTTACCAATCTGGTTTCCTTGGAGCTAAATTCATCAGATCAACTTCTTCCACCACTGGTTCTGGTTTAGCAGCTTCCAACTGGTCTTTAATGTGCTCTTCAACTGAGGGTAAAGACAGTGATTTTATATTAAGGATTGAAGGTGCCGAGCTAGTAAAAATGGCCGAAATTTAAAAGTAATAACAATTCTTGAAATTTTTCTGAGTGAAAAGTTCCAACAAGTGAGACGAAGAGCAAATTAAAAAGTGGGCATACCTAAGTTTTGGAGGCTATTTTGAATTAAAAATTCATCAAAATACATAAAATTGAGATTCATAAATCCAAAACTATCAAATAGCCACTGTCAGAAATGTGTAACATGTGTACATAAAGAATGATACTTTAAAATCAGTACAAAAAGCCACGGGGTAACCCAAATTTTTGGCCCCCGGCCAAATTAAATGATCCCTGGCCAATAAGACATTAATTTACATGTTTTTCTCACATATTTTTATATATTTAACGCTCCTGGCCAATGTACGTAAAATGCGTAAGTGAATTGACCGACAAGTTACCATGACTCAACAGTACTATAGAGATATTTCGCGATGGGAGTCCTTCGTGGTCGGTAATATTTACGAAAATTGTTGCCACTTTTCCAACAAATCCAAAATCACTCGATAATTTTGTTTACTTTACATTTGTACTATGATTACATTTGAAGTTTTGATAATTTTCATGCATACTTGTACACCCACAAAAATACCCCCAGGATAAGAGAATTTAGTATATAGCCTTGACAAAAAAGCATTATTTTTATTATTATTATTTTTCGATCTGCGTAATTTTATGTGGAAATCCTAATAAGATTTAATGTACAGTTCACAACTAACGATTTTGCAATATTAGAGGTTGTGAACTTGTCCATGGAGGCTGCAAATTGCAATTTTTTTATAAAGATTGTGTTCACTGACATTTATTTTGTATTTTTTTTTTACTGGTGTGACTACAGTGACTGTGTAGTGTACTCGGCAGTTTTTTTTGTCTTTTATTGTCAGTTGTTAAATAGGTATGTTATTTCCATATTGCAGTATATCGTAGACGATACTTGTATAATTTGTTTTCCCAGCATAAATATCGGATTGTTCAGAAGCATGAGATTGTAATGTACATTTCGTTCATTAATGTTGTTTGATGACGCTTTCTCCATGGCCTTCAGAGTCCCATGTTGACTATGTCCAGGCCCATTTACTTACTTGTTGTCAGTGTCTGACTGGTATATACAAAATACGACAAAGTAAACGTCAGAATATTAAAAAAATACCCCTAAAAATCAGTTGCCTATGCCAGGAGAGCCGCAGAACCAAAACAATCTGTCAGCCGTCGCCGTCCACAGCAGTGATATGATATTACACATCGAAATCGAGAATCGCAAGTGTAGACATATAGCATAGAAATGAACATTAAATACATCTATCCCGGCCAGCAATCCAATCATCAATCGTCATGAGTGATGTAACTGGTATTTCCATCTATTTGCTTCTATTCCCCCACCATACTAAAATGCTCAAGTGAATGTTGTCAAATTCGCGAGTGTGCGTATTTTCGTACAGTGGCGTGAACATTGCTACAATCCAAGACGTGCTGAACAAGATGTCCATTCTGGGCTAGTACTATTGACAAATCCAGTATAACATTGTTATGTCTCTAGACTCGCAACAAATTCGAAACAAAAGAAACATTCCGATCCAAACAACCTGCATCCCGTTGTGTCGTCATAGGAAGCGCTGTCCCAGCATGGTGAAGAAGACGTCGACCTGCAGCGTCAATGACCTGCGTCCTTGAAAATCCAGTCTAAACGCCATTGAGTTTCCAAGCGATTTTCACCAAATCTTCTATGATTTTTGAATAATATCATTAATTCAGTTCAGCGGTTAGATGGCTTATTTATAAGAGACGCTCGAGAAACAAAATTGACAATGTAAATCACTCTGGCGACAAAAAATCAGCGATAATAGCCAAAGGGGTGAGGAACTGAATTTTAAAAACATATTTTAGATGTATGCCATTCAATTTGGCCGAGGGCCATTGGCGGGGCGCCAGAGATTCAGGTTACCCGAAGCCACGGGTGGGGTGGGGTGGTCGGTTTAGTGGGCCTTTTTAAATATGGTACAATGCAACAGAGAAGATGGAGCTTCTATTAAAATGGTACAATGTAACGCAAGGGATGGGGCTTCTATTAAAGCATCTACACACATAAGAAATGTTGAATTTTTGGTTCTCAGCAGTCAGTGCCATGGTCGTCACACTGCATCAAGTTCGATATGGAAGCCATAGCGATGTATACATTATTTGTTTATGCAGAATTTGAACACTCGCTGTGCGATAGGTTTTCAAACCAGTAGTGACAATCGGACCTCTGTGAAAAATGTAACATGTACAATGTAGAAGAATAATCTAGAGCAAATAACTCCCATTCTTCATTCGCAGCCGATCACTGTAAAAAAATGCCTTTGATCATTCTGATAGAAAACAATCAAATCAAACAATCAGGAAAAGCACTTGTCTAGAAAAAGAGTTTAACTTCTGGAAATTGTTAAAATAATAATATTTTGCGACATGAGCAAGACTATTTGAGAGATAACAGCAAACTAAAACTACACATACCTTTTTCAGGCTGTGCTCTTTCAGCAACAGCATCCTGTAGACTCTCATTTTCGGGTTTGTAATTTTTAAATATTGGTTGCCTAGAACAAGATTACAGCTGCAGGTAGTCAGTAGGAACACATTTCACACATGTACAGTTTTACAGACTCAACAAGAACACAGATTTATGGATTGTTGTTAAAACGTAAATAAAGAATAAATATTTCTAAAATTAAATAAAAAAATTCAAGGGGGGGGGGGAGCTGTGATGCTAATTTAATGCAATGATAATTGGGTTCTTTTGTCTCCATGTTCGATCGCATACAAAGTTTATGTAAACATACTCCTCACTAAACAATGCTTAAATATATATAATAATTGAACATGACTCTAAAACATGTACATTGTACCCAAGTGAAATAAGAATTGATGTAGCTTATGGCAATGGAAATAGCAGAATGTCAAATTGCCAAAAAGGGTGCACTTTCTTTAATACACACTCACTGAACAGTATTTGCCATGGTACAGTGGTGAGGCAATTGTCAAATTAAAAGACCTTGGAAAGCAAGGAAATAGTTGAGGGCCACTACCGTAAAATGGTCAAGGAAGAACCATTCAATTGAAAGTACCTTATTTCTTTATTGCCTTCCTCTGCCTCTCCAGCAATCTTCTTCTCTGGGGGTTCAGAATCACCTGTTTCCTGTAATTAAAAGGAAAACGTATCATCTACCTATAAGCACTACATGGACATACCATAGTACTTTGTTCAATAATGATTTTAATAGCAGGTATATACTGAACACATACACGTACTAAAACATCCATTGCATTGAAGTTAAATACAGTACACTTGTACATCCTATATGTAAGTTAGTAGTCTCTGCTGTGATTCAAATTTAAAACCAAGTTGCATGCCAGGATTTCAGGTTGTCCAGATGATAAAATTATCAACCAGATTCAGATTCACAGTGAAAGAATGACCTCGATCTGCTCCATAGGTTTCACATCATATTAGATTAATTGGTAACATCTTTGTTCGAACTGTATTTCAGTAGGTTGATTATCCATTTTGGCAGATGATGGTTCCACATTTTTTATTGCCAAAGCTGCATTCTGTCTGACTGATCAGCCATTTTGGCAGTTGGCATCAAGCATAATCTTGACCAAACAAAATCAATAGTAGGGTCACTAATGAGCTGATGATGAGAAACAATCAAATTTTGGTTTTATACATACTATGTTGCATGATGATTATGTGGATAAAATAAAAAATTGAAAAAGAAGTGTATACTGTATATATTACTATATCATTGTTTGTATCACACCTATTGTCTCACAAGTTTATTCGTCCACATACATTTTTGTTGTACCAACTCACCAAAACTTGCTAGGTATTAACCAGCAACAAGATCCGAGCAATAAACTGTATATACCATACTCGTTTCACTCAACACCCAGGCTACTCAACTTAAACAATCACTCGAAAAACTTTTGGAAGAAAAATTGTAAAATGAGTTGCATCGTCATTGATTTCCAAATTACAATGCCGAAACAGAAATGATCACAGAAAATACTTGCATTTCATTACAATATCATTTGGATAGAATCAGAATCAAAAGTCAAGAGATCCATCTTTATCTGTGTTGTGGAATATTTTTGATTGAATGCAAACAACTTGATGCAAAGGAATTTCCGCCATGTTTTTATTGCAGAATTTGACCTCAACATCACACCTGACACACTTTCACACTCAAACAAAATGGACAACATCTTGCACATCCACCACGACATTTTCCTGCACAATACCATAATGCTGACCAAAGGCAATGGGATAAATGTGAATTGGAACGAATTGACTGTGAATCACCTCGTCACGCCTCAGAATTGGTTGTGTTCTGGAGTGTGCCAATGACAAAACAGCAGAACTTATTATAATACAGGTATATTTGTAAATTGTATGTTGTTTTACATGGTAAACTACTGGAATGTATATCATATCACTACTTCTAGGATAATTCAGAATGTTTGCTGACGATGAACTAGGTGGAAGAGTACAGACACAGCATAAATACCTTCAAATAAGAACATTTGGAAAAACTTTCCAATGTACCCCTCACCCCTTGGTTTAACTCTAACAGTATCCGGAGAAGTGGGCCAGTTACGGGGTGAGCCAGCAAATTCGTCGGTGAAGTGGGACAGTAGGAAAAGTGGGCCAGTTATTTGATTACCCCCCTAATACGATAGACACGGCGAATATCAACCAATATTTAGTTGTACTATGTCAAAAACAACTTGTACAGACGCAACCAACACCTACCGATTTTTAGTCAAGTCTTTTTAATCAACGTCACCATGAAATGCACATTTGTTTGGCATTCACCTGCGTGTACCAGCCTGAGCGGTACGTAGATACTTATAGTTGCTCAACAACAATGTCTTCATCATATCATCCGATTGCTTTTTGTATGCATCACAAATGTGGATGCATACAGCATACGCAATTTAGCGTAAATACTACCAAGTCTACTACATTCTAAAAATATGGCTTTTTTTGGTATAAATACATAATTCATTGTTGCAAATAATTTGTAATCACTCACAATATCTGTTAATATTATTTTAATATTTTTATTGTGACATTTGAGTTCCAGATTTCGCCCATGCTTGTACCGTATGTACTCTAATTTAGGCGTCCCTCTAATTTAGGCGTCCCCCAAAGGTCAAACCTAACAAAAGAATTCTAATTTAGGCGTCACCCAAAGGTCAAACCTAACAAAAGAATTCCAATTTAGGCGTCACCCAAAGGTCAAACCTAACAAAAGAATTTTAATTTAGCGTCACCCAAGGTCAACCTAACAA